TCTCCCCCAAACTCTGTAGTGTATTGTCTTCATCTTACAATTGAGAAAACTGAAAACTGTGAGTCAGAGAGGATCATGGCTTTGTAGGGTCATTTGTGAGGAATAAGTAGCAGAGACGGGTCTCCTGGCTTTTGGAACATTACTTTTCTTAAAATAGCTTGCTGCTCACTGCCTGGATGACTCTTGGCAAAACATCTCACCTTCTTTTACCATACCCCCTTTCCCTTATTCCAAGTGCTCCACGAGATCTCCACCCCATTTTCTTAGCCTCAGTCTATTATTTTGTGTTATGTAACAAATCACCCCAAAGCTTAGTGGCTAAAATTACAACCATTTTTCAGTGCTTTTGAATCAATTGGTCAACTGGGTGTTCAGTGGTGTCTGGCCTCGTCAGTCAGCTGGTATGTCACCTAGAGGCTTGGCTGGTCTAGGGATGGCCTCCCTCTTGGGTTGGCCATTGGCTGGCTGGCTGTTAGGACATAGATATTAGGGAAACAGGGTTGCTTGGTCTCCGTTCGTCATCATCCAATAGGTTAGCCTGGTCTTGTTCTCAAGAACTTCCTAAAAAAATAATAAGATAAGCAGAAGCATGCAATCAATGCCTTTTGAGGCCCATTCCTAGAAGTAGTATACTTTCACTGCATTTGTAGTTTATTGGACAGCCTAAATCCAAGGGGTAGGGAAATAAAATGTAACTTCTAACAGGAGGAGGTTCAAGGATGCCTGGCCAAGGGTATGGATACAGTGAGGAGTGAGAAATTGGATTCATTTTCACAATGGACGAAACTCAGGTTTCTTTCAATTAATTTGTCTGATACATTTATATTAAGATAGTAGGCCAGGTGTTGTGACTCACGCCTGTAATCCCAGCACTTTGGGAGGTTGAGGTAGGAGGGTTGCCTGAGGCCAGGATTTCAAGACCAACCTGGGAAACATTGGGAGGGACCCTATCTCTACAAAAACAAAAATTAAAAATTAGCTGAGCATTGTCGTATGCACCTGTAGTCCCAGCTACTCAGGAGGCTGAGGTGGGAGGATCACTTGAGCCCAGGAGTTTGAGGCTACAGTGAGCTATGGTCGTGCCTTTCCACTTCAACCTGCATGACAGAGGAAGATCCTATCTCAAAAAAAAAAAAAATAATAATAGGCAACCCCTTCAAGTCCCCTCCCACTGTGGGAGCTTTTCTGTCCTCTCAATAAATCCTGCTTTCTCAAAAAAAAAAAAAGAAAAAAATTAATAATTTAATTTGATGCCTTTCCAGGTATACCTGCTTTAGAAAAAACAAGCAAGCCTGTGATAACATAATATTTAATTTAAGGGAATTATAGCATAATGCTGACTGTCAACCTAAGCCAAGAAGCTATTCTGTAGCAGATGAACTTTTCCTTATTTCTTCAAGTCAGAACACACTCTGACTTCCTCTGCTACCATTTTTTTATTGTTGTAAAATTTATAGAATATAAAATGGTACCATTTTAACCATTTAAAAGTGTATAGTTCTGCAGCACCAAGTACATTCTCATTGCTGTGCAACTGTCACCACATCCTCTCCAGAGCTTTTTTCCATCAATCCCAACTTTACACTCAATCAGCAAAAACTCCTCACTCTCCCCTCCTCCCACCTGGACAACCACCATTCTATTTTCTTTTTCTTTTCTTTTTTTTCCCTCTTTTAATTTTTATTTTTAAATTATGGGGTAAAAATTCAGAGTTAGGTATACAAATATTCACTGTGCAGTTACCCTTATTGATGGGGTGTGCCACCCCTTCCCCAGGCCATTCTACCTTCTATTTGCATGAATTGACAACCTTATATACCTCATGTACATGGAACCACAAAACATTTGTCCTTTTGTGACTGGCTTATTTCAGTTAGCATAATGTCCTCAAGGTTCATCCATGTTATAGTACATATCAAAACACCCTTCCTTTTTAAGACTGAATAATATTCCATTGTATACCTATAGTACGTTTTGTTTTATTCGTCCCCTGAGGGACACCTGGGTTTTCTTCCATCTTTAGGCTATTGGGAATAATGCTGCTATGGACATGGCTGTACAAATATCTATTCAAATCCCTATTCTCAGTTTTTTGGATATATGCCCAGACGTAGAATTACTGAATCCTATGATAACTCAGTGTTTAATTTTTTTGAGGAATCTCCATACCATTTTCCCTAGTAGCTGTGCTATTTTATGTCCTTACCCGCAATGCATAAGTGTTTCAATTTTTGCATGTTCTCACTAACACTTGTTATTTTCTGGTTTGGGTTTTTGTTTTTTTGTTTTTTGTTTTTTTTTTTTTTTAGTTAGAGTCTCACTTTGTAGCCCAGGCTGGAGGGCAGTTGCATGCTCACGGCCACACCAGCATCGACCTGCTGGGCTCAGGCAATCCTTCCGCCTCAGCCCTCCAAGTAGCTGGAACTACAGGCAAGAGCTACCACGCCCAGCTAATTTTTTGATTTATTGTAGAGATGAGGTCTCGTCAGGTTGCCCAGGCTGTTCTCAAACCCATGAACTCAGACAATCCCCTTACCTTGGCTTCCAAAAGTGCTGGGATTACAGGCTTGAGCCACCACGCCCGGCCTGTATCCTTTTTTTTTTAACTGTAGCCACCCAAATGTGTGTGACAGTAACTACTTGTAGTTTTGATTTGCATTTCCCTAATAATTAGTTATGTTGAGTATCTTTTTATGTGTTTATTGGCCATTTGTGTGTCTTCTTTGGAGAAACATCTATTCAAGTCCTTTGCCCGTTTTTATTTTTTGTTGTTGAGTTGCAGGCATTCTTTAAACATTCTGGATATCAATCCCTAATCAGATGTATGATTCGCAGTTATTTTCTCCTATATCATGGGTTACTTTTTGCTCCGTTGATAGTGTTCTTCGGTGCACAAAGGTTTTTTAATCTCGAAGGAAGCACAATTTATCTATTTTTTCTTTTGTTGCCTGTATCTTTGGTGTCACAGCCAAGAAATCACTGCTAAATCCTACCATCAAGTTTTAAATACTCAACCTGATGCCATTTAAACTGCTCAGTGAATGACTTAAAGCATTTTAAAGTAAGATCAGGCACGATGGCTCACATCTGAAATCCCAACCCTTTGGGAGACTGAGGTGGGAGGATTACTTGAGCCTAGGAGTCTAAACCAGCCTGGGCAACACAGCAAGACTTCATCTCTAAAAAAAAAATTCAAAAAATTAGCCAGGCATGGTGGTGCATGCGTGTAGTCCCAGCTATTTGGGTGGCTGAGGCAGGAGGATTGCCTGAGCCCAGAAGTTCAAGGCTGTGGCAAGCCATGATCAGTGTCACTGCACTCCAGCCTGGGTGACAGAGTGAGACCCTGACTCAAAAAAAAAATTTTTTTTAAGTAAGTTATTTCTATTCTATCCAACAAGTTACTTTTATAATTATGGGAGATTTTCATAAATATTCATTCAGTGCCAAATTTCTTCTGAATTTTTATTTTTTTGATTACTGCCAAATGCATTACATTGTAAATAGCAAGAAGGGAAATAATGCATTGTATTGTGATACAATTGTTTCCCGATGAGGAATAGTGAACAAAATTACTGCCAAGTGCCTTTATTAGAGAAAGAAAATTCTTAACTGATTAAAGACCATGGATATTATATATCAACTATAAAATGAGTTTTCAAGTTTTCTGCTTCATTTTTAAAAAATACTGAATTTCACTTAAGCACATATAATGAGGCTCTAAAACTTCAAAGACATTTTGCATTCTGAGAAGGGTTCTTTGTGGTTGCAATGTTCATTTGAAATTCAAATAATTCCTTGGAATTTGAAGTTATATACTGTCAAATAAGAGAGAGAAGATCCTTTGTATCATTGTTAATGTATACTAATAAAAGATATTATACCTTTGTAGCTACATGGGGGCAGCAAATACATCTTTTGAAATAATCTTATAATACATGAGTTATCTATTTTAAACCTTTTAGGCAGCATGTAAGAACTTATTTTTTAACAGCTGTGGGTCTTGTTTTAGGCCACTATATACTTTTTCAAGGAAGTATTTATTAAATCTCTAATTTTGTATAGTAGATGATGTAGAGAACCCAACAGAAAGAAGAAGACTTGGTTCTCTTCCTTCAGAGAATTTGCACACACGTGACAATATAAAAGAAAAAATAAGAGTTTTACCATTTAGAGTCTGAGAAAGTAAAGACAGGCTGAGGTGATCTGAGAAGGTCTCAAGGAGGTAGAAACCTGCAGGCCAGGGGGTGAGCTGTGATGGGAGTGGGTTAAGGAAAGAATTTGTACCATCTAGGTGAGTGGAATAGCAAAAGCACACCTGACTGGAGGATGGATCATTCTGGATACCTGAGATAGAGGAAGCACATTAAATGTGCCATTGACAATTAGAAGCTTGGGCGAGGACTAATTGTGAGGAGCTGATATAATAGTTTCATGTTTGATATCATTGACTGTAGAGAGACATTGTAGGTTCCTGACCAGGGGAGTGGTATGAAAATTCAGTCTGTCTCCACTGGAGATCATAGATCTTTAGAGGTAATGAAATTTCTGGAAACATCTTATCCAACATTCCCCTTTTTATTGAGAACAAAGACATGAAATAACTTGCTCAAGGTCATCCAGTTAGAAAATAGCAGATCTATATCTCAGATAAGTTTTCTCTCATGCCACAGTCCTCCAGAAGATATTAAGAGTAAAGACAATGGACAGAAAGGATAAATATGAAACAGCATCTTAGAATGTCAGAACTATTTTATTTTAATGATTAAGGCAGACAAATATTTACAGAATTCAGTACAGGACTGGGTGATTTCTAAAGAAATTAATAATATTTGATAAAAGTTAAAAAATAATCCTAATTAAACCATATTGATATTCCAAACCTACCCTGAAAAATGGGTGCTGAGTAAAGCTGAATGAATGAACAAAAAAATTAATGAATAACTACATCCACCTAAATTTGTGTTTTTTTTTCTTTCAGGAAATATCTTACAAGTATTTAGAGAAAATATTTTCTTTTACAGATTCACCTTTTTGGAGTTTTACTGGCCATTTTGGGAAACTTGGTAATCAGCATTTCCCTAAATATTCAGGTAAGAAAAAGCTTATTTTTCTAACTCTGTAATTTGATCTAGGGACACACAACTTTCATGGGCCTTGAACACTTTTACTTCCATGGCACCTTACTCCATAAAAATTATTTAAAATATATATATTTATGACTTCATTGGCCTGAAGACAAGTACAATCCAGGCTAGAGTGCACTCTTATTTTTTACTTCTTCTTCTGATTTTAAAATAAATTAAATATTTTGGGAGGCCCCTGATAATATTGTGAACCCTAGGCAAGGTTTCTACTGTGTCTGCTGGATAAATCCCTCTGGTTTGATTTGCAGTACTTTGATTTCTTTTATAGCCTTCAGTGAACTCCAGATTGGATGCAAATTTTTTCAGAAGGAGTTCATAAGAGTATAGGTTTATTCCCTTTCTTTAAATACTGTTTAAAATGCCAGTTAGACTAAAGGTCTTGAAGACAGATTGTAGAGTATAAAATAGAAATTTCAACTGAACTATGAATTAGAAACCTGAATGAATTACTGATTTGCTGAACTAAAAACTGAATGAAATACTAGGCTTAAACCTAATCATGATTTCAATCAAAATGTTTAAATCACTTAATGAATCTGTTTGAACCAGAATCCAACCAATGCCATTTCTAAAACGATTGAATCAAAATGTCAAAATATCTGAATGTCAAAATATCTCCCAGGATGATATATAGTAGCCTGATTTTATCCTCGGGGAATGTGGTCCAAGACCTACAGAGGTTGCCTAAAACTGGAAATAGTACCGAATCCTGTATATACTGTGTTTTTTTTCCCTATGCATACATGCATACCTATAATAAAGTTTAATTTATATACTTGGTATAGTAAGAGATTAGCAACAATAACTAATAATAAGATAGAACAATGAAGTAAAGTAAGGGTTACTTGAACACAAGCACTATGACACTGTGACAGCTGATCCATAACCGAGAGGACTGCTAGGTGACGAAGGGGTGGGGACAGCCTATAGTGTGATACACTAAACATAGGGAGGACTCACCTCCCTGATGAGAGAGAGGTAGAGATTTCAGCAGGCTTCTCAAAACAGAGTGCAATTTAAAATGTATGAGTAGTTTATTTCTGGAATTCTCCATTTTTCAACCGGGGCAACTAAAACCACAGAAAGTCATTTCAGATAGGGTGTGCTGCTGAATTATTTTATACAAACCCGTGCTAGAAAATGGCGTAGTATAATTTTCAATTATTACCCAGAAATGTATTTATTACTGAAAAAAAGCAAAAAATAAATCATTGCCCTTATAGAAAGAATTCAAAAAATATAAAAGAAAAAAAAATGAAATTCCCCTCATAGCTCAAAAGTAACCACTGCTAATTATGCATTTTTCCCCAAATCGATTTCTATGCATAAGCAGCATACATATATTTGGGGCGGGGTGGGAGTGTTCCAAAATGTATATAGCTGTCCCTTATTGCAAGACATATGGGTTGGTTTTTGCTATTTCAAATATGTAATAGAATGAATATCTATCTATACTTAGTTATACAAAGATAGATATACTTTGCATACTTGTGTGCATATTCTATAGGTCAAAGGATATATTCATTTTAAATATTGCTAGATTTAGCCACATTGATGTCTACATGGGTTGTACTACATTATCTTCACACTAGCAGTATTGTCCATGGCCATTCCTTATGTCCTTAATGCCACATATCATTAGTTATTTGGTGAGAAGAGGGAAAGGCATCTAATAGATGAAAATGGCATTTGATTGTTTTAAGTAGTTTGTGTTTGATTATTCATGATTTTGAAAATCTTTTCTCACTTGTAATTTTATTTGTATAAGTTACTATTTCATTTCCTTTGCATAACATATATCTCTTGGCGTCTTTGTCTTTTTCTTATTTATTTGTAGGAATTCTCTTTCATAGTATTTTCTTGGTACGGTTTTTAAAATACGGTAAAATCTCTCAGTCTTTTTCTGGCTTATGAATTTGTCCCACACTTAGAAAGGTGTTCCTTATGCCAACATTTTTTTTATGTTCTATGTTTTTGTCTACTACTTTTATTATTTTCTTCTAAAAAATTTTTAAATAATCTGGAACTGTTCATAATTATTATAAGACATATGTTTGGTTATCATAAAAGCATTAGGGAAATAGAGTATAATTTAATGGCCAATTTTCCCAGAATTTTTGTATTTCAAATTCAAAGAAATACTCAAACCAGATATAAATTAGAGTCACCCCATAGACTCTCTGGTAGCAAAGCACTCTGCTCTGCTATGTCTATTGTAGTTATTGATCCATAAATTTGAATCCATTTCAAAAGATTTCTCCTTAAAATTTTATTATCTTTATTTCATTAAGCTTATTTTAGCATTTGGAAGTTTTTGATATTGTAAAAGAAATGTCTTAGGGTAGTGGACTAGAAGGTCACTTACCTTCTTAACATACACCTCATTTTAAGTAGTAAAAATGACACATTAGCAGGCTCGGTGACTCAGCCTGTAATCCCAGCCCTTTGGGAGGCTGAGGTGAATAGATTGCCTGAGCCTGCAGGTTCAAGACCCACCTGGGCAACTTGGCGAGAGCTCATCTCTACAATAAATCAAAAATGAGCCAGGCATGGTAGCACGTACCTGTAGTTCCAGCTACTTGGAAGGCTGAGGCAGAAGAATCGCCTGAGCCCAGCAGGTCAACACTGAGGTGGCCAGGAACGGCCTGCATTCTAGTCTGGGTGACAGAATGAGACTCCAACTCAAAAAAAAAAAAAAATGACACTTATTTTACCGAGTCCATAAGTGAGAATTAAGCAACATTCATATGTAAAAATTGTTCCTTAAACTATAAAATGCTATATAAATGTGAGTTGTTTCTACTGTTGATATGTTTGGAACAAACAGGACAGCATAATGTGTCTCTATAATAGTCTGCATTGATTTTAAAATCAATTTAAAAGCCATGATGCAAATTTACAGGACCAAAAATTCCAGGCAAATTTTAATGGGGTGGAAGTGTTTTCTTATTTGTGTTCTGGCTTACTTCCAGAAATATTCTCATCTCCAACTGGCACAACAAGAGCACCCAAAGCCGTACTTCAAGAGTGTGCTGTGGTGGAGTGGGATCCTACTGCTGGCCGTGGGCGAGACAGGCAACTTTGCAGCCTATGGATTTGCTCCCATCACACTCATTGCTCCGTTAGGCTGCATATCTGTTACAGGTGAGCCATTGCACTGAGCTTTAAGAGATCAGAATAATTCAGTTGTTACAACTGAAACAACAAATGTACAAACAAAGAAAGTCTATTTCCTGTTTCCTTAGCATGATCACATGAAACAGTTATGCTACTAATTTCAGTTACCCGCTGTCATGCTGCCACATTAATCATGAAGAAACTTGAATTTTGAAACTACAACAAAACCTGGTCCCCAGTGTCTGAGTCTTAATAAATGGACAGTAATAGAAAATATTATACTGTGTTTTTAATCATCAATGAATTATCTAAAAGCATCTGTAAAGCAATGTTTTATTTATATGTTAAACTAATGTTACTTGTAGTTAAAATCTTTGACCCTGATCTTTGACTCCATGGTTGAGCTTCTCTTTGACATTAAGGATTAAATATTGGTCACTCTAGGTAACTATAAGAATGTGTAATTTTACAGAAATGTCACAATTATCTACCTTCAGAACTTATATAATTTACTAAATACATTTAGAAAAGAGAAAATGAGATGTTGCTAAATACTGGGGAAAAAAAAGAACAAAAATTACTGCTTTGCTAAAAATGAAAACAAATTCTGCAAGCCCTGTTAAAACCAATAAAAATCTTTTTGGTTTCACTCTTTATCTGCTGCTATGGAAACAGCATGTTTCTAAATTTCTGTGAATTTTTGGAGCTTCATTGAAACAGAAACAAGTTTATAGTCATTATCTGTTAATAACTAAACCAAGTATAGCATGTGTTTACATAGTCCAGTTTTAATATTTTTCCTAAAATATTTATGTTATTCTTAAAGAAAGTATAATTTGAATGGAAATATGTGTATTCAAAGAGAATTTTATTTAATTTTGGAAATAGCTTTCACTTTTTAATCATTTAAGATATTTAAAGTAATTTTGTAAAATATGATAGAATATTTAGCCAAAAAACCCACTTACTTTGCTTTCTTGGGACTGCTTACTTAAAATAGCCATACTGTTACTACTCTGAAGAGGCACAAAATTTGTTTTTGTTTTTGCTTTTTTGAGTTGGAGTCTCACTCCGTCATCCAGGCTGGAGTGCAGTGGCACTCTCCTAGACTCCATCAATCCTTCCGTCTCAGGCTTCCAAGGCTAATTTTTTTTTTTATTATTACTTATTGTAGAGGCGAGGTCTCACCAAGTTGCCTGAGCTGGTCTCGAACCCGCAGGCTCAGGCAATCCACTCACCTCAGCCTCCCAAAGTGCTGGGATTACAGGCTGAGCCACCAAGCCTGGCCTATGTTTTTAACATTACAATAAAATGAGCAAATTGGATAAACCTTATTGTAGTGCACATAACACATGCACTAAACATGGACATTCTAGATTTTTTTTTCTCTCAAAATCTGAAAAATAACAAGTAAAATATCTACTTATATGGTCTACTTGTTGTCTGTACAGACTTCCGTTGTTCTGAAAATGCTGTATTATTCTTCACAATGACTGTGCATATGTTGCCGATCTTTAGCTTTGTTTCTTACTCTGCTTTATGCTCAGTTTCCATGAAACAGAAAAAGGAAAAAATGTCTGGGCATATTCCATGTACACTTGCGGGGGGTGAGTGCACCACATTATGTTGAAATTCTGTATTTATCTCGTGTCTCCTGGTCCTAGGAAACCTTTTCCTGGAAGGGGAAGGGTAATAAGAAAAAGAGAGCTACTCCAGCTGGTTCAAACAGAGGGGGAATATTGTTGTAAAGATCATAGATTTCACAGAAATGAAATATAGCTAGGTCTCTAGGGGCCTGAAATGAGAATGCGGAAGGTTCCAGAGCTTCAGGGTCAGCAGGAGTGCCCCTCGCAGACCTTCAGTGAAGCTGGCTATGAGTTGTTCATCTCGCCAAGACTTGCTCCAAACTGTCATTAATAACTAGAAGCTGAAGTTTTCCAAACTTCTGCTCAGAAAGTGTCCTGTTCTCCCCAAGTCCCCAATGGGGCCAGTTCTCCCACCTTAAATTCTGAACCCACTGCCTTGACAGATGGACTTTTCTTCATGCTGCAGATCATTTTTCTTTGTGTGCTGTTAGCTCCGATTAGTGTTTCAATTTCAGATCACTTTTAGCTGCCTCCCTCTCTGCTTGTCTAAAATGATTCAAAGTGAAATTACAGCCTCAAACACAAGCCATTTCCTACTTTACAGTCTTTGCAAACAGCGATATATGCTCAAAAACAGTATTCCCACAGCATCCCTGAGGCTGAACCAAGGTAATTGTAAAACACTGTGGGTGGCTAAGGGACTGTTGGGAATGGCAGATTTTCCCTAGAACAAGCCCCTGCTACCCTGAGATTCTAGAAACTCTAAAGAACTTGAAGCAAAAGGGAAAGTACTTTTGAAACAGATGTATCTTATAGCTGTGTCTACAGATGAAGCAGAAAATCCACACTTTTCTATGCTAAAACTTTTTTCTCTATTATTTCTTGGGAGCTTTAAGAAATCAAACCTCCCTTTGAATTAAAAAAAAAAAAGATAGTGTGTAATTACAGTGTTGTATGGGAAATTGCATATTCTTTTCTGATTTTCCTTCTGTCTTTTGCTACTTTTCAAAAAAAAAAAAAAAGAGAGAGATTATTAAAATCCAAAACACAGCCGGGCTCTGTGGCTCAGCCTGTAATCCTGCGCCTTTGGGAGGCTGAGGTGAGTGGATTGCCTGAGCCCGCGGGTTCGAGACCCGCCTGGGCAGCGAGACCTCATTTTTACAATAAATCAAAAAATCAGCCGGGCGTGGTAGCGCATGCCTGTAATTCCAGCTACTCGGAAGGCTGAGGCGGAAGGATCGCCGGAGCCCAGCAGGTCGAGGCTGCGGTGGCCGGGAGCGGCCACTGCACTCCAGTTTGGGCGACAGAGTGA